TATTGCTCTTGTGCAGAAAAACTTCGCAGAAAAACTTAGAATCGCCTGCTCGGAGTTACCTTGACGGTGCACCCTGCGGCAACAACTGCCTGCGGCAGTTTATCGAACGCGGGCTATAGTACTAGAGCTACCTCTATGTGATTATTATGTGATTATTAGTACGTCGTCATTGTTTGTATATAGGTGAACATTTTCTATGTACATCAATAGAGGCATATGATTTGCGCATGTATTATTATATTATAAAACGAAGCTTATGCTTTCGCATGCAGCTGCCGCTCGTTATAGTAAAGCCGCTGACGCATTAATAAAATACAATTCATAATAAAACTTATACATCACAGTGTAAGAGAGTAGACGTGTTGACAACTTTTATTGATATTTTCATTGAACATTTGCAAAGAAGAGCAGCTGAATGCAGCTCAGCTGTTTCATTGTATTCCTGGTAAAATTAACGTTCAACAACTAGCGCTGAACGGGCTAGGATTATCGGCTATCGGCAATAATATCGCGACGGAGCAGGTTGGTGGGGTTGGCTGTGTTCAATTATATGTGATTATTACGTCGTCATGTTGTGTATAAGGTGAACATTTCTATTTACATGAATAGAGGGCGTATTATTTCCGCATATATTATTATAAAACCCAGGCTTATTATCCGCTGCAGCTGCCGCTCGTTACATGAAGCCACTGACGACATAATAAAATACAATTCATAATAAAACTTATACAACACAGTGTAGAAGTAGAAGGTGTTGACACTTTTATAGATATTTTCATTGAACTTGCAAAGAACAGCAGCTCAATGCAGCTGAGGCTTGTTTCCATTGTATTCCGCGGTAAAATTATCGAATAGTGTCGCTGGCAGCTATGGATTCGTGCGCCGCGGCTATGCATTCGGCGCATGGATCCATAGCTGCCAGCGCTGCATACTGTCGTAGGAACGTTCCGCGCTTCCGCGTGCGCCTTGCGCGGAACTGGCGCGCAAGATCTGCGCTTATAGCGGCTTGGGATCAACAACCTCCTTTCGGCAACGCTTCTCTAGTATCCCGCTCATCTGGTTGTGCAGAATAAAATTCATGACAGGCGTCGTTTTTCCATCAAATATTATTTATATGTGGTTAGCCATCATAATATGCATAAATTACTGTGATGTAAATAAATGTGTATGAATTTGAATTTTTGTGATCGATTCTCATCCAATCAGCAGCCTTGTGACATGAAATTATGACGTTCCTGTTTATAAGGTGAGTTTGCTCGTAGCTACGATGTGTTTCTGTCAACGGCTACGCTCGTAGGCATTAATATTAGTCATAAGTGTTAACGTAGCATTAATATTAGCATTAAGCTTTAGCGATGTTTCTGACAACGGGCCCCAGACATGTAAACGCCTGCGAAAGCAGGCGCACGCTCAATACACACAAACAGAAACACATGCATCACAGCTGCAGCATGCACAACACGTGCACGCTCACACATACGCTCACCCACACGACCTCACATAGTAATAAACCGATGCATACATCTGTAAAGTGATAAACCACCACCTGTGAATTGGCTAAGGCAATGGCTATTTCCTATATGAGTCCATAGTAGTGCAATGGAGATGGCTCAAGCTCTGACAATCTTGTATGTTTCTTCATTTGGCCAGTGTCGCTGTAAAATACAACGCATTTTAATTATCATGAGAAAGTGTTATGAAATCAAAATGCAGCAAACGGAACGTCCTACGACAGTATGCAGCGCTGGCAGCTATGGATCCGTGCGCCGAATGCATAGGCCGGCGCACGAATCCATAGCTGCCAGCGAACAGTCCGCAATTTTAGTGGTGGACACAGAGGGCAGACATTTGGAACGTGAACAGTATTCATAAAAACTGTAACCGAGTAATCTGTTCGTAACCGAGCTGTGTCACGCGAAATCACAGAAAGACTGTCGAAATTCTGACATTCGCGAACCTTGCCCAGTAATGGAAATGGCTGTCAGAATCAGGAAACACCTACCGGCGCTCTTCGTGACCTCATTGTTGCGCCCCAACGCTGCAACGTTTTTGCAACATTCCAATGGCGAGGCTCGTACGGGAGTTTGAAAGCAGTGCGCCGCCTATAGCCCATAGACTGGCACTCGCTCCCACCTCTCGGCTTAGCTTAGTCACTCGATGGCTAATCGAGGTGGGAGCGAGTCCTAGTCTGTATAGCCTTTGCACCTCGCAACCTCCTCGAAAGAGAGTAGGCCTATATTAGAAACATTAAGAATTTGGTAGTAAATAGATTTCGTATTTAGTTAGCATTATATTTTATTGAAACGCTTCAAGTGCCTGTGTCTAGTATAGGGGTATTCTAACCCTAGCAAAGAGCGTTTCTTGGAGCTAGTAGTAGTAGTAGTACTATACTAGTAACTAGTAGTAGTAGTACTAGTAGTGTAGTAGTACTAGTAGTAGTACTACTAGTAGTAGTAACAGGAGTCGTCATTATTAGTAAGTTACTATAGTAACAGAGTTAGTCATTATTACTATTAGCTCCTGCCGTCCTGGTAGTAACTAGTACTAGTAGTAGTAGTGTTGGTAACTTAGTAGTACTACTACTACTAGTAGTAGTACTTACTAGTAATTATTGTAACATGTACTTGTAGTAATAGAAGTATTCGTAGGTGTGGGATGTACCAAAGTCTTAATGTTTCTCTACTCTATTTCGCCTATAATCACCTGTAAATGCCGGTCAAATGCTCATCTGCAACACACAAGTACACCGAACGCACGACCGCGCTGTGCTGCGTGCACAAACAACATGAATAAGAGAGTTACACATATAGACTGGTACCCGGTCGACAGTTCCAGACGCTACACTACATGAGTGTAGCGATATGCCGGAGTAAAGGTGGCAAACGGGTACCAGTCTACTATGCCTATAGCCTCGGCGTTCGTTGCGCCGTCTATCGCACGCCATATGTACTACGTGTACTCATCAACAACAACAAACAAAGAAGAAACTTGAAATCCGTTTATTACAGCAAAGAAAGCGCGCCGACTAGCGAACTTCGAATTAGGAGCATTTCTAAGAAATGTCTGATATTTTCATTGAACTTGCAAAGAACAGCAGCTCAATGCAGCTGAGCTGTTTCATTGTATTCCCGGTAAAATTATCGAGTGGTCGCTGGCAGCTATGGATTCGTGCGCCGGCTATGCATTCGGCGCATGGATCCATAGCTGCCAGCGCTGCATACTGTCGTAGGACGTTCCCGCGGTCGCGTGCGCCTTGCCGCGGAACTGCGCGCAAGATCTGCGCTTATAGCGCTTGGGATCAACACCTCCTTTCGGCAACGCTTCTCTAGTATCCCGTCTCATCTGGTTGTGCAGAATAAATTCATGACAGCGTCGTTTTTCATCAAATATTATTTATATGTGGTTAGCCATCATAATATGCATAAATTACTGTGATGTACAATAAATGTGTATGAATTTGAATTTTGTGATCGATTCTCATCCAATCAGCAGCCTTGTGACATGAAATTATGACGTTCCTGTTATCGTGAGTTTGCTCGTAGCTACGATGTGTTTCTGTCAACGCTACGCTCGTAGCATTAATATTAGTCATAAGTGTTAACGTAGCATTAATATTAGCATTAACTTTACGATGTTTCTGACAACGGGCCCCAGACATGTAAACAGCCTCGAAAGCAGGCGCACGCTCATACACACAAACAGAAACACATGCATGCACACCTGCACATGCACAACACGTGCACGCTCACACATACGCTCACCCACACGACCTCACATAGGTAATAAACGATGCATACATCTGTAAAGTGATAAACACACACCTGTGAATTGGCTAGGCAATGGCTATTTCCTATAGAGTCCATAGTAGTGCAATGGAGATGCTCAAGCTCTGACAATCTTGTATGTTTCTTCATTTGCCAGTGTCGCTGTAAAATACAACGCATTTTAATTATCATGAGAAAGTGTTATGAATCAAAATGCACAAACAATGGCATCATGAATGGAAGCAAGATGTGTGAAACGTCTCACTCGCTTGCTTTCTTTTTTTATGAAAACAAACGTTTTACAATGAATTTCAAAAGCAGTTACTTTATCAGCTATTGAAATGAAATTGTGCAGCAAACACACATGTATCGTAGCTTAGACTATATGAAAGTAATAAAATAGCAGTGCAGTATCACAAACATGGTTTTATGACAATTACCCAAGGCCAACTATACCCGGAGAATCACCCCCTTGTCAATTACCCTCAATGCTCTTCACCGCTTGAGCAACTGCCCACAATCACTTCCTGGACTTTCTCCCTCCCCCAAATGCCGTTCATTCCCTGCATGGATATCTACTCCAGACAATTCCCCCAACTCCGTGCATTTCCACTCGTACAGCTACACTCAGATAATTATCTCCTGAACAATTACCGCCTGGAAAATCACCTCCTAGACAATTACAACCTCATGGTTTAGTTGGATTACATGGAAAATTCATTCCTTTAAACAAATATATAGCAAATTAGTGCAGAAATTTCTACACCCAGTACCTTTAATCTACTTGCAAGCACATCAACTTCCATGGTGTTTCTCAGCTTGCTATCACGTAAAATGGCTGTCGCATGGTTTTTGGCTTGGTTTCTTACCTTTAAACATAAAAGAGGTCAGTATTGATGAACATTAAAGTGTAGCGGTGGACATGCTGTGTTGTCAATGGATACGATCTTAGGTCGATGAGTGCGTGCAGCGTCAATGATGAGGACAAGCAGCGTCAATGATGAGGACAAGCAGCGTCGGTGATGCGGACATGCAGTGACGATAGATGAATACGTAGACATAGACAATGTTTGACAAGTCCAAATGTTACAGATGATTCTAAGTTTTATTTTATAGTGGGGTATGAAATGTAATCCTGTAGGGTTTTTGTGCTAAAATTCATTTTTTTGCTTTATCTGGTTGATTTGTGGTCAAACTACCTGAAAATGGTGGGGTTAAAATTTTCCGACCCCTCAGCTCCCCGGGGGAGGGGGTTTTCATTCCCAGGACCCCATGACTGACCTCTGGCCTGTTTCTGCTAATACTGATCCTATTATCACGATCCTATGGTCATTTCAGGGGTTTGGGATGATGCTGAGTACATTTATCACAATTTCAAAGCGAGCGGAATTGGCCATTATTGACTTCCGGTTACAATCTGTTAAATTTGTCATATAGTACCTATTTCTATAGGTTTTCAGGCAAAGGAAGACAACTGGTGCATTCATTTTTGCGATCAGATAGTCATGTCAATAGAAAAGGGCACTTTAAGTGGCTATCGCAGACTTCCAGTTAGGATCAACTACGAAGTCAAGGTCATTATCGTGGTACAGACAAACCTAGCCAAATTGGATCTCTTTCAATTGGTTCAACTTATTTATTAATACAAATTACAAAAAATTAGTTGCTCTAATATTGAATACTATTACAAATAATAATAAAAATTATTATTATTATTAAAATATTTAAAAAAATACAAATTATACAAATATTTAATAATCCAAAAGAATCACAAATAGATGATACATAAGGAACGATCGAGTTCAGAAGTTTCTCGCGTAGCCCCATACCATATAGGGGGCTTGACAATGGCATTCCCCCCCCCCCGTGAGATAGATGCTTTCTAGTTCAGTAAAGTTCCACTAGTTTCCATCATGGCAGCACAGTCCAATGCCCAATAATTTACGTCACAGTCTACCACTTAGACCTAAATTAGTTAACGAATCAAAGAGCAGGAAAAATCAAAGGTCTGACCAATGGTCAGACATGGGGGAGGGATTGAAATATTTGGAGTAGTATATAATCGCATGCAGAGCGTCGGAGAGACAAGTTTACAAGTTTACAAGTTTACAAGTTCTTACGAGGTTCTTACGGAGTTCTTACAACGTTTTACAAAGTCTTACAAGTTTTAGGAAGTTTTAGTTTCTCAGGCAGTACTACACTAGTCTGCATTAGTCGATCTCTGAGTAGAATAAACCATCTCATCTGTTACCATAAAGACGTCTTAGCGTTTCTGTGATCTTCATCGTCAACTTCTTACATCGCACAAGAGGGAGAGACAAGTCTGACGTTGCCTTCAAGCTTACCGCAGCACGAACCGAACCAAAACTATAGTACCTATATAAGATCTGTTATACGAGTGTTAGACCGTCTCTCTCCCCCAATCCAGATGAGACGGGATACTAGAGAAGCGTTGCCGTAAGGAGGTGTTAATCCGAAGTGCAATCGAAGCCTGCCTGCCGCGATCTTGCGCGCAGTCCGCGGCAAGGGGCCACGCGGACCGCGGGAACGTCCTACGACAGTATGCAGCGCTGGCAGCTATGGATCCGTCGCCGAATGCATAGGCGGCGCCACGAATCCATAGCTGCCAGCGAACAGTCCGCAATTTTAGTGGTGTGACACAGAGGGCAGACATTGGAACGTGAACAGTATTCCATAAAAACTGTAACCGAGTAACTGTTCGTAACCGCAGCTGTTGTCACGCGAAATCACAGAAAGGACTGTCGAAAATTCTGACATCTCGCGAACCTTGCCAGTAATGGAAATGGTGTCAGAATCAGGAAACACCTACGCGCGCTCTCGTGCACCTCATTGTGCGCCCAACGCTGCAACGTTTTGCAACATTCCAATGGCGAGGCTCGTACGGAGTTTGAAC